CTCCCTGCAGCCATGAGTGTCCCCCACCCCTAATGACCCCCTGGTTGTCCCCCCAGCCCTGAGATTCCAGGGGGTTTTTGGGGACCGTGTCCAGTACTTGACGGCTGTGGGGGTCCCTTTCTCAGCCTCCAGGCCCTGGGGGCTTTGGGGTGAAGCCCCCCGGGGGTTTTGGGGTGGCCTCCCCCATGGCTGCCGTGTCCCCTCAGTTCCTGGTGCAGCAGAAGCTGATGGACTACAGCCTGCTCCTGGGCATCCACGAGGTGGGCCGGGGCGAGCAGGAGGAGGAGGAGGAGCTGGAGGAAGAGGAGCCCGGGGGCGGGGGCGATGACGGGGGGCTGGGGGGCCCCTACGGCACCTCCCCGGAGGGTCTCGGGGGGCTCCTCAACTCCTACCGGCCCCTGGGGCCCGGCGAGTTCGACCCCGGCGTGGACGTGTACGCCCTGCGCGGGGCCGAGGGTGAGCCGGGGGCTCGGGGGGTGCCGGGGGGTTTTGGGGTGCCGGGAGCGCTGAGCCCCCCGGCCGTGCCCCCAGGAGCCCCCCGGCGCGAGGTTTATTTCATGGGGCTCATCGACGTCCTCACCCAGTACGACGCCCGCAAGAAGGCGGCGCACGCGGCCAAGACCGTCAAACACGGGGTGAGGGGGCACCCCGAAATGGGGGAGGGCACCCTGAGCTGGGGAGGGCACCCCTAAATGGGGAGGGCACCCTGAACTGGGGGGAGGGCACCCTGAGCTGGGGAGGGCACCCTGAAATGGGGGACGGCACCCTGAACTGGGGGGGAGGCACCCCGAAATGGGGAGGGCACCCTGAGCTGGGGAGGGCACCCCGAAATGGGGAGGGCACCCTGAACTGGGGGGAGGGCACCCTGAAGTGGGGGAGGGCACCCTGAGCTGGGGAGGGCACCCTGAACTGGGGGGGAGGCACCCCGAAATGGGGAGGGATATTCTGAACTGGGGGGGACATTCTGAACTGGGGGAGGGCACCCCGAAGTGCGGGGGGAATTCTAAACTGGGGAGAGGGCACACTGAACAGGGGGGCAGCACTTCCAGACTGGGGTGCAGGCATCTCCAAGCTGGGGAGCGGGCACCCCAAAATGGGAGGGAGGGCACTTCCCAACTAGGGGCAGGGCACCCTGAACTGGGGGGTGGCATTTCCCACCTGGGGGGGGCAGGGCTGGCTCCCCCTTGGTTTTTTGGGGAGGTGGGGAGAGGGAAGGGCTGGGGGGACACGGGTCAAGCCTTCAGGGGAGGCTTTGGGCGGGGTAAAGCCCCGGCAGGGTCTGGG